GGAGAGAAGAAAATACCTCCCATGGGGCATGATCATGCCACAATCCCCTATCTTTGATTTCTCCCTTCTTTTGGGATTTTGGGCATGGTTGCACATGTGCTGAACATGTTTCTCAAGCTGCTGGATCAGCTATGTAGGATCCAGTTGCCTCAACCACGAGGCCATGGGTTGGCCCAATACTGACTTCCTACTACTAGTCTGGGGCTGAAACATTTCTCAGGTGTTTTTATCTGACTATTTTTGTCCTTTTCTTAGACTAGATGCTTTGTTTTTGTGGGCTTTGTTTTCCAGGTCTCCAGTGGTTGACTTGTGTCTAATTGCCTGGGTTGGGTTGGGGCATGCTCAGCAGGAGAAGCGAAAGTAAATTGATGAAAGACAATCTGAATAAAGGAATTTGATTGGGGGGGAATAGAAGAAAGAAAGGATTAAAAGAGAGCTGGACAGAATGAGCTAGCATGTAAGATTAGTACTTCTTTGCAATAGTATCCATCCATATTCATGTATACAAGTTGAAGCAGAAACTTAATGGGCTATAAAAGAGTTCATTCGAATTCGAAAGGATACTGGAAGTTGTCTGAACACAGAGTGCAGATTGCTCATGGTATGCTGTCATCCTCCAAAATGTCAAGTAAACCCATTATTTTCTTCACCAACTGCCTTGACTATGATTGGTGGATCTAATTAGCCCTTTGGCCTCATCAAAGTGGGTGTGTTCTCTGACAGATTACAGCTGCATGATACTGTGCAAAGCTGTGCTGTCCAGTAGAACTTTCTGAGAAGGCGAAAATATTCTATATCTATGCTGTCTAATACAGTAGCCATCAGCCACATGAACTAGTGAGCACTTGGAATGTGGCTAGTGCACTCAGGAACTGAATTTTTAACTTTATTTAATTTTAACTAATTAAAAAATATAATTATTTCCTTTATCTTATTTATCATTATTGTTATTTTCAATTTGACAAGAGCAAGACACAGAGAGAGAGAAAAAAAAAAAAAAAAACAAGAAAGCAAGTTGCCAGGTCAGGGACTCTACCTGTGGTCAGCCATATGGAAGTCCAGCGCCCTTAACCACCATGCTACCTCCTGGCCCCAAGTTTAACTAATTTAAATGTAAAGCGCTACACATAACTAGTGGCTCCTGTATTAGATAGTACAGATGTAAGTTTACCTGTGTACTCTGGTGATACGTGGAAGAGGACTCAAACTGCCACAGCTTGTATGCTTGTGTGACTCCGTCAGCTTTCTACCTGACATAGAAAGTGTGTTCAATAAAACTGCTCCATTGAAGGGATGTGTGACTTATGATCTTCCTAGTGCAAAGAACAAGGATAGTCTCCTCAGTGGACTGGAGGGTTTTGAGCTGAGGGCTAGATGTCCTCCTCACCTGGATGGGTGAAGTATAGACTGCTTTGATTGGCCTTCCTCAGTAGACCAGTGAAAATGGAATACCCTAGTGAAGCTGCTGAGCAACTCCATGGTTTGGCAAGGCAGTACTTGTTCCTGGGGAAACTTGCAATTTTCTTGAGCTCACATTCTCCTTATTGCTTAGAATATCCCATCCCCCTTCCTCAATACTGACTTTCTTTCTTTCTTTTCTAATTTGCCAAAGGGCTCACTGGAGAAAGACAGAACAAAGGAGAGAAGAAAATACCTCCCATGGGGCATGATCATGCCACAATCCCCTATCTTTGATTTCTCCCTTCTTTTGGGATTTTGGGCATGGTTGCACATGTGCTGAACATGTTTCTCAAGCTGCTGGATCAGCTATGTAGGATCCAGTTGCCTCAACCACGAGGCCATGGGTTGGCCCAATACTGACTTCCTACTACTAGTCTGGGGCTGAAACATTTCTCAGGTGTTTTTATCTGACTATTTTTGTCCTTTTCTTAGACTAGATGCTTTGTTTTTGTGGGCTTTGTTTTCCAGGTCTCCAGTGGTTGACTTGTGTCTAATTGCCTGGGTTGGGTTGGGGCATGCTCAGCAGGAGAAGCGAAAGTAAATTGATGAAAGACAATCTGAATAAAGGAATTTGATTGGGGGGGAATAGAAGAAAGAAAGGAGTAAAAGAGAGCTGGACAGAATGAGCTAGCATGTAAGATTAGTACTTCTTTGCAATAGTATCCATCCATATTCATGTATACAAGTTGAAGCAGAAACTTAATGGGCTATAAAAGAGTTCATTCGAATTCGAAAGGATACTGGAAGTTGTCTGAACACAGAGTGCAGATTGCTCATGGTATGCTGTCATCCTCCAAAATGTCAAGTAAACCCATTATTTTCTTCACCAACTGCCTTGACTATGATTGGTGGATCTAATTAGCCCTTTGGCCTCATCAAAGTGGGTGTGTTCTCTGACAGATTACAGCTGCATGATACTGTGCAAAGCTGTGCTGTCCAGTAGAACTTTCTGAGAAGGCGAAAATATTCTATATCTATGCTGTCTAATACAGTAGCCATCAGCCACATGAACTAGTGAGCACTTGGAATGTGGCTAGTGCACTCAGGAACTGAATTTTTAACTTTATTTAATTTTAACTAATTAAAAAATATAATTATTTCCTTTATCTTATTTATCATTATTGTTATTTTCAATTTGACAAGAGCAAGACACAGAGAGAGAGAAAAAAAAAAAAAAAAACAAGAAAGCAAGTTGCCAGGTCAGGGACTCTACCTGTGGTCAGCCATATGGAAGTCCAGCGCCCTTAACCACCATGCTACCTCCTGGCCCCAAGTTTAACTAATTTAAATGTAAAGCGCTACACATAACTAGTGGCTCCTGTATTAGATAGTACAGATGTAAGTTTACCTGTGTACTCTGGTGATACGTGGAAGAGGACTCAAACTGCCACAGCTTGTATGCTTGTGTGACTCCGTCAGCTTTCTACCTGACATAGAAAGTGTGTTCAATAAAACTGCAGAAATACCTAAAATACTAACCTTGAATGAAGCAGAGGGACCTGGTTTTTATGGGAACAGTAGTAGTTAGGGGCGGGGCAGGTACAATTCCTCTTATGAAGTCCCTCTACCTCCTTATGTGAAATGTGGGTACCCTTTTTAATTAAGAGTGGTTCTCCAGGAGACAGTTTTGTCCGGATATAAGGTGCTAGACATAGTTACCAGACAAGGAAATATGAAACATTTCCAGGAACTCTAGAGAAAAGCTTGTTGCCAAGAGGTAGGATTTCCTGGTTTCTGATAAAAACAGAATTTCCTAGGGTGTAGTTGGGATTTATTTAGAAAAACGGGCTGGATTTCATGGTTTGGCTTGAACAATTCCTTGAAAACGATCCTTCCTCAGAGCCCAGGAAACTGCATCTGCCTCTCATCAGATTGTGTTTTCCTGCACAGACATTCCCCATTGCTGTCTTCGCTCTGCTTCTGAGGTCTGAAGCCCTGAAGAAGTCACCATTGCTTTCTTTTTTTCTCTCACCAAAGCATCCAATTGGTTCTGCTGAACTTATCTCTCCAACACTATCCAATATGTTCACTCCCTTCCAACCCAGCTTCCACTGCTCTGGTTCAGATCCACAGCAACTTTTCCCGAATCATTCCTGTGAGCCTCTTGTTTCCAACCTAACACTCCTCTAATCAGAGTTACTGTGCACAGTTAGGCAGTTTGTGTACTCTGCATATCAACAGATGTCTGGATAAGGAGGCTGGTGGGACTGAAGGAGGCCTGAATTCCTGTAGTCTGGTTTGCACCTCTGTCTACCTGGAGAAAGTATCTTTGCAACCTGCACAAACGTGCCATGTAATCATGGTGGTATAGACTTACACTGTTCAATACAGCAGTCACTAACCACATCTGCCTATTTCAATTTTAAATGTAACATTTAAATTCAAACGATCAGTTATACTAGCCACACTGCAAGTGTTTAATCATCACTAGCTACTGAATTGGACAATGTAGACACATTTACATCACTGGAGTAAGTACTACTGGACAGCACAGGACAGACCCTGCTTCTAAACCATTCTTCACAACTTGCCGGTTTGAGTGATCGTTAATGCAAATGGAAACATGTCCTCCTGCTTAAAGCCTTCAATGATTTCCACTTCTATCAGCAGCCATCACTTAGTAGGTGATGTCTGTTTTGTGGGTTGCTACCAGCATTAGAAACAAAACAACGAGAAATAATAGAAGGAAAAATGCTCATGGATCTTGACTACTGTTTTGTGAAATTTTTGCTTGGTTAATCTGTATTCTGTTCTGTCTATATGTAGACATCAAATTCTTCATAATGTTGATATCCCCTTGGGTTGTGGTGAGAAAATATCTCTAAGTGTGCGAGGTTAGCCAAACATTTTGAAAAAACTTGGGTTTATGGTTCATCAAGTCTGAGCTCCTTAACAAGACATATAAAGCGCTCTATTTTCTGACGCCCCCGCCCCTTATTCTTTTCTACCTTTTGACATTCTGTCATGCACTTATGTTCCACTAGTACCGAACCACTGTTGGTTTCATCCAAGACTCCAAGCCTTTTCCTTTCTTTCTTTCTTTCTTTCTTTTTTTTTCTTTTTTCATCTGTATGTCTGCTCATTCTGAATCATTTCCTTGGACTGTTCTACCTTCTTATTGCCTGGACAACATTTTATCATGTCGGAAACACCTACTGCGGGAATCCTGCTCTGAATGCCCTAGGGAGCGCCGAGTGTCCTTCTTCGACATTTAACAACATCCTACAGACATCCATTTACAGGGTTATAATACTGTAATTATTTTAGATGTTATTTTCCAGCACGCTACTAAGTTCTTTCAGTGAAAGCACTATCTTATTCATATTTTTATCTCAAGAGAGGAGCACACAACGTAGAACAAACTAGACATTCATTCAATAAATTTGTTTTCAAAGAATATACAAGAGAAGGAAGGAAAAAAGTCATCAGTGCAGACAATGTAAGTGCGTCACAGACTCTGGCCACTAGAGGACGCCAGCGGGACCTGGCTGGTGCGCAGGCGCGCTGGGAGGCGGGCGCCGCGGCGGCAGCGGCGGCGGCGGCGGTCGTGGCTGTGGCCGGGGGGAAGTGAATGGTTTTACCCAGAGGGCCCTGCGCCGCCTTTCTCCGCTGGCACCGCCGCTGTTCCCTGCTCCTCCTCCCCGGCCATGGCGTTCACGTTCGCGGCCTTCTGCTACATGCTGGCGCTGCTGCTCACCGCCGCGCTCATCTTCTTCGCCATCTGGCACGTGAGTAGCCGGGACCGGGGGGAGGCGGGCAAGGTGGCGGCGCAGCCTCTTTTCGCCCCGGGCCCAGTGTCCGGGCCGCGAAGGCCGCCGGAGGTCGGCGCGCCGGGGGATGGAACGCGGCTTGGAGCCGGGCCGAGGCGACACGGGGCGGGCGAGGTGTCTGGGCGCCCTCTCCCGCGGGCTGGGGGCTGCAGGTCCAGGGGAGCAGGGTGGATGCCCCGGTCGAGTGCCCGCGCAGGCCGCGCGCACCGCTACTCCCGGCTGGGTGGGGCGGCTGCTGTCCAGATTGGCCCTGCCGGACAGCGCTTCGCGCGCACGGACCTTCGGCCAACCCTGGGTCCCCGGACCCTGGGTCCCCGGAGCCCTGGGTCTGCACTTCCCCACATCCCCACGCCCCGGGGTGCGTGCTTCTCAGAACCGTGATACTTAGCGTGAATGAAGTTTCCCGTATTTTTATTATTTCATAGATTGCCGTTCTTTTAGGGTTTCGCAGGAATACGACCAAAATAAGATAGTTATAATCCACTTTAAATCAATTTCCAATTCTGACAGCACGTGTTGGGGTGTTCTTCAAGTACAATCACCTTGTTGTCACATTTTTGTTTCCTGGTGAACTTTGATGAACGCTGGGTTGATTACTTTGCAGACTGCACCTTCTAGCTTTCCCCCTAAACCATACTTGGACCACGGGGTTTTCTCAAGAGACAATCTCCAAGCCTACAGCGTGTTCAGAGTAGTTGGCTTAGCAGAGAGAGTTTTAATTTGATTTTGAAAATCCTTAAGCTTCTCCAGGGCGGTTTTAGTTTTTTGTTACTCACATCATGATGCAGGATAGAAGCACATCTTTACTGGTCCCTGTAAGAAACAAATTCCCTGTGACTTACTTCTACAAGGGATTTTTGAAGATTTCTGTACTTTAGGACACAGAAGCATTGAGAGTCCTCCGGAAATCAGCATTCATTAAACATTTATCTCATATGTGCTTCTGCTCTCTCTGTGTCCCAGTACCCATCTGGAATATTGGTCTTAATTTGAATGATTGGGCTTGTTCATTTTGATGTAAATTATAAGTCCGATTTCATCATGCCCATAACAGGGATTTGTTATGATACCTATATAGAGAGGGACAGAGTAATTAAAATGGTAGCAATCTCTTGTGCAAAAAAAAAAAAAAAAAAAAAAAAAAAAAAAAAAAAAAAAAAAAAAAAAATAAAAAAAAAAAATACAA